TTTTTTTTGCTTTCTCTATTTGCCCTCCTCGCCATCTCTATGCAGGCAAAAGTGGCTCAAAAATCAAGGAAATACGTCAATCCACTGGCTGTTCGATTCAGGTTGCCAGTGAAATGTTGCCAAATTCAACAGAACGAGCCGTTACTTTGAGCGGCACTGCCGAGCAAATAACCCAATGTATCTATCAGATTTGTCTCGTTATGCTGGAGGTGAGTATTGAATTAAAGTGCTGGCATAGTTGAATGGCATACACACATAGATACACACACTTACGCGCAAACCTATAGGCTGGAGTACTTACTTAGATGCAAAATAGTTAAAAAATACCTATGCATTATAAGTGTAGGTGAATTCGGCTGTGTATACGTGTGTGTGTGCCAGTATAAATGCACTTTGCTCGATTTAATTAAATTTGCTATGTATATTCTCTAAACCCCCTATGCACACATACACACCTCGTTTCGTCGTTGTCGTAACAGTCACCACCAAGGGGAGCCACCATACCGTATCGGCCAAAACCGCAAGTATCTGGACCAGTCATTTTGGCAAACGGACAAGCCTATACCATACAAGGCAACTATGCTGTACCCGCACAAGAGGTAAACTGACCGCACAAAACACCCATTTGTTCATACAAACATGCCTATGTAAGATATCTTATGAAATAATACACATACATGCATAACTAAACACCTGTGCGCATACATAGACAAACACACACACACAGACGGTCAGAGTCACAGAATCGCCATACACACAGTGCACTGCATTGGCACGCCAAGCTCATTTTACGTATTATCAATTAATGGGCGGGTGAATTTGGTGAAGCGTGTGGGTGTGGGGCGTGCATGTGTGTGGATGAGACTGCCTCTGTGTGTATAAGTGTGTGTGCGTTTGGCATTGGCATAAAGGAGCTGTACTACGTGCATACCACACATATGTAGGCGCATACTACATATATACATTTATATAATTATGCTTTCTACTTATACTAGCTGCATAAATATGTATTTGTTTATGCCACACACACCTCCTCAAGTACCAGCAAATATACATACTTAAATTCTATAAATGTACGTGGTCTGGTCTCTGCCATTCGCTGCCTTTATTCGCCTTTAACAAGTTTTCTTTTACACTCCCCACACTTTTATTGGCGTTTACTGACGTGTTGCTAAACGCCCTTACCTCTTTTTTTTGCGCTCAAGTAAGCAAGCGGCAAAAGCAGCCTCCAACGTCAGCAGCGCCATATAAATAAAATTAAATTTTTCATCGTCTATCTATGTATTTTTCTTAGCAAATATGTGCCTATTTTTTATTTGACTACTACTTTTTCTACCTCTACTTTTTACTTTTTTTTGCGCTCCACAGTTGCCTCTTATAATGTAATTTTACTCCTTATTTGTCCGTTACAAATTATTTACTTTTGTCAACTAAGTTTGTGCTTTGCATACTTATTTATACACATACAATTTACGTACTTACATTTATATATTTTCTACATACATACATATGTATATTTATAATCACAATTTTTGCTATCATACATTAATAAAAAAAAAATTTATATCTCCGCTCCGCTCTATGTCGCTGCCCACTCCACTATTTTCTCTATTTATTCTACCCACTTTACTCTACACATATATATCACTTTTCTCTTCTGTTCCGCTCCGCTCCGCTCCGCTCCTTTTCTTCTCTCTGGTCTTACGTTCACGTGTAATATGGTTTCTATTGCCGTTTGTTTTCCCTTTTTGCCTTTTGTCATATTTAATTTTATTTCTTTAAACGTTTTGCTACTTTCCACTTTAATCATCTAACCACATCCAAATTAAGTTAAGTTTTAGTGTCCATATAGATAATTTGATCACCTTAAAGGAAAATAAATGTACTTTTTGGTATCGGAATATGAAGTGAAAAATAGTCCAAGCCTCAATTAGTATTTGACTAATTCAATTTTGAAGAACCGATTAACAAAACACTTTCTCTCATTCGTAAGAAAGAAGCAATACTGAAAATTAAATTGAGAGCAGTGCAATGTGAAAACAACATAAGGTAAAAAGGTTTGAATAGAAATCTCAATATAGCAGGCATGCCTTAAGGGTTACTTGTGCCTTAAAAATTAAAAAAATATACTCTCACTACAAAACGTTTCCGTACAATAATCGATTTTTTCATCAAAAAAAAATCGTTAATTTTTTGTAAAAAAAATAGTTCATTTTGTAATATAAACCTGTTAAGCTAGCGCTAACTTACTCTTTAAATTTACAGTGACTCAAACAAATGACCACGTGTTGATTTTTTTAATATTCGTTTGTTATATACATATAAATCACCGTTTCAATCTT